ATTCTGATCACAAAAAAACAAATATGTTTGAAAATGTGGTAACACTCTTTATACTCTTATGTTAAGTGTATTAATATTTATAATTAACACCACACTCTTCTCAATTTACAGAATGTGTCTGCTGCAGACACTGAAAAATGTTGTGCACACCTTGGAGTATGTAAAATCGAAAGGTGTGGAAGTGCGCTTTCATGGGCGTGGAAAAAATGAAGCCTCACATTATTGTGGACAATGCGAGGTAAGTGTCACACAAATCGTTTGTAGTTATAGTAATTTTTTTCTACACATCCGCGGATATACTTTGGAGTGAACACTTTAGTAGCACTCTGATTGCCCCTCCGACGGAAAATTATGAGATCGCACATGGGTCTTGCTAAATCCGATATGTGCGCTGCTGATAGTATACATTTGATGGCAGACCAACAAATATATGTATATTTAGCTTTATCTAAGAGGATAGAAAGCGCAATTGTTTAAATTCGAACCTGCAAATACATTTGGTTTAGACTGAGCTGCTATGCAAACGCGTACATAGTAGTTATGTTAGATTTTTTAGGTTAGGTCGTTTTTTATGATACACTATTTTGTGGTTAGGAAAAGAAAGGAACCGCACGATTTTGCTCCAAAGTAAAAAAAAAAATAATGAATTTAATTGTGTTGTGAATTTTTTTTTTTAATATTTTGAAGTTTTATTTTTGAAACTTTTAGTACCGATCTCAAAATCAGTATTGAATATTTAATTTTTTATTTTTATTTTTTTTATCATAATTTACTGTAATTTATTATTATCAAAAATACCTTGTATAGTGTTTTTCTTGTTAATCTTTGTATTTACTGATTCAACATTTTCTGCCTTTGCAGGTTGAAGTTTTTAACATTTTATTTATACGCGAACAAGAGAAGCGGCACGTTGTGCACTGTATGGCCTGTGCACGTAAGCTATCACCAAATTTGCAAGGCATCGTTTGTTTGGAGGAATATCGTTTAAGCGAACTTTTACAAATATACGATGCTTTCGCGTTGTATAAAGTACCACAGACACTGCCACAAAGTCCGAATTCGTCGAATATTTAATATTATAAGAATTATATTAACGTGTATGATGAGAATGATGAACAAGATGATGTCGTCGATGATGTTTGATGCTGATAATGGTATAATGATAAAGACATTCGTTAGTTGATTTGCATATAAATATATATATTTTTTCTGTAGTTTGTCGGATATATAGGTCTATTGCTAATAAATAATTATACAATTTTTATAATAGACAACAACAAAAATGCACTGGTATTATACTTACGTAGGCATATTTTTATAATATTATACAAAATACAATTTCATTTTTAGCAAGTTTACGAGTAAATTTACGCTCTTTCATATAGACGGTTAGCACGATATACATACATAAATCATCATTATTGTTCTACGTAATTTTATTTCTTAGACACTAAGGCATTTCTCATCTATACGATACATATATAAATAAGTATATAATTGTACATGGTACATGTGCGAAAGTTATATACAAAAAAAAAAAAAAACACACACACATTTGAATAGTAGTGATTATTACACATAGCTATTTAATTTGTTCTTACAAAACATTACAAAAAATGCATATATACGTACTACAAACATACAAATAATTGTATTGCAGAATTAATTGCAATTGTGGATTTAATTTTTTGTGTTGCAAAATTAATTCAAATTTTGTATTTTATTTTTCGCGTTGTACAATTAATACAAATTGTGTATTTTATTTTATGCGTTGCATAATGAATTGAAATTGTGTATAACGAAAATAGTTGCAATTAGTTTGGTCACACGAAAAATAGTGAACAATATGAGTGAATCTATTTAAATTGTATACAAATAATACATCATCAAATCATTTATATTTTATCCAAATTTTAATTATTTATAAACAAAATTTGAAAAAAATTACATTCATAAATCACAAATGCGTAAAATAGTTGCTACAAAAGTGTTAGGTTGTTTCATTAGTGTAAAAGCGAGTTTTAGTTAAATTGATAATAGAAAACGTAATAATGTTTGCTAAGTTTATAAATACAAAAACACGTATACATATATAAATATAAGAAAAAGCAAAAATTATTACTTAAAAATCGTACAGCTTTTACAAATTATGACATATTGTCTTTAACAAACAAGCAAAAACACAAACATACATATACACCAAAAACGTATGCATGCATATAAATAAAGCGCTACGAAGCATTTGAATATGGCGATTTTTTTCATATATTCAAAAGTTCAGAAGCAAAACGCAAGCTCAAAATAATATCGAAATAACAGCGCTACTGCATAAGTATCCAAACAAACATATAATATATAGAACCTGTATATGTAATTAATGATCTCAATAAAAAAGTAATGAGGACGAAATAGCAAAATACAAAATGTAATTTCAAAAAAACAAAAATTTAAATAAAAAACCACAAAAAACTTAAAAAAAAAAACGGTTGAACGTGTGCTGTATAACAAGTAATACAATTGTAAACAAAAGGAAACCACAAATCTTCAGGCCCGTTATCATTTCTAGTTTAAAGAGAAAAATAAAAGGAAAAGCCTGGGAAACAAACGAATATATTTTTATAATTACAAGGAAAAATATAAAAATATATTTTAGAAGTACGTACATATATATACATATATATATATATATATATATATATATAGCATACATACACACATAAGTGTTCAATATTTGAAAAAGAGATGGAGAAACAAAAAAATAAAAGCCGACCATGTCTGGCTAAAAAGCGTCTAAAAGCAAATATACTTAACTCATTTTAACTGGCGGTCCGTTTCACAACGTGTTTTGTTCGAAATACTATACATAAGTATATTTTGCCATAAAAAAAATTAAGAAAACAGTCCAAAATGTTCATTTGGTAAATATGTGAAGTACGCGCTAAATATTGCATATGCGCCAAAAAGTATGTTTCTTTTTCGTATTGTATACATTTTATTTATAATATTGGTGTGTGTCTAAGACAGGTGCTAAAAATAAGAAAAAACAAAAAATTGTGTGCGAAATTCTGTAAGATATGTTAACAACAATTTTAGTTAAATTTGAAACGGGCTTAGCCAATGCATAAGGTAGCCGGCTGGATTAAGTCCGACATTCTTTATGGCTGCGTCTAATGTAAATATATTTATTAATAGTCGATTTCTTGGTATCCAAATATATTGTATTTAACGATAATTGCGTCTGTATTGCGCCATCCGATTTGTGAATGATGGCGCCAATTCACGTTTTCATTTAATTTAATATTCTTTACGTAAAAAAAAGAAGAAAATAAAAAATATTTCATGCGTATTACTGTATAATTCATACGTAGTGTGAAATTAATAAATAATACAAGAAAATTATTCAAATATTGTGTTTTTCTTAACAATTAGGGGACTCCGAGAGGGTAAAGTAAATTTGTCACGAAGTTTGTAACACTTATAAGGAAGCGTCGTGGACCATATACTTATATATTATCAGCGTGACTTTAGCCAAGTTCGTCCGTCTGTATGTACGCGAACTAGTCCTTCAGACATCGATCTGAGGTTTTGCACACGTCTTTTCTCCTTAAGGAGCTGCTTATTAATCGAAAACCGTACAAATAGGCTGATCAAAATCAATTAATTGTGTGTTATGCTTTGGTGCAAACAAACTTTTTTCTTGTTTAACGATACAAGTATTCGTTGTCCACACCAAACGCAAAAAGTTATGATCGAGTATTTATATATAAAAATACCTTATTGTAACAATATTCGCACAGTTCGATTTCAAAAATTCCACAAACACATTTCCAAATTTTGTTATTTTTATTTTGTGATTATTTTACAATAAGCACCACATTAAAAAAACTATTCAAAAAACAATTTTTTAACTCCATCTGTAATGAGCATAGGCGCGATTGGCTTCGCATTGTCGATGCAAGTCATTCTTCTTTTTCACCACACGTCCTTGATTATAGGCCGCATCTAATACTTCCCATGCCAATTTTTCTGGTAAATGCACCTTTCGCTCCTTTTCTCTGGCTGCTTCTAATATCCATTTCATGGCCAGAAAATATGATCGTTTTTCAGTCACCGGAATGGGCACTTGATATTTGACGCCACCACGTTTGATTGCGGTTAACTGTAAGAGTGGTCGGCTATTTTCAATTGCCTTAATCAACAATTGTTCCGGATCGGCAATTATCGTGTCTTTGGTATCGGCATTCAAGTTCATGCGCTCGATCTGTACGCGTTTCATACATTCAAATGATTTGGTAAGCAATTCTCTAGCTAGTTTCTTATTGCCACCTTTTGTTATATAATTCACCATTTTGTTCACCAATTCGTTGTAAAATATTGATTCGGATTCATCGTTCCTGGCTGCTTTAATTGGCATATGCGACAACTTGATGTACTCATCAGTTTCTTTAAGGTTCAGCTGCTTCTTTTTCGAGAATATTGCTTCTATATAGTGCGGCGGATATGCCGACATTCCACGCGTGAAGGCACATACCAAGCTGGAAAGGATTTATGTGGTTTATTACGTCTGCCAAAAGTGAAATCAAATTGTTCTCAATTTACCTGTGTGGCTCCAAGCGGCTGCACAGGCTGCGCAACATTTTCAGTTACAAAATTGAGTTTTAACTAGGTAAACAGAAGCAGCCACTTAATATATTTTATTCAAGAAATAGCAGATGTTGTTGCGATGAAAATAATTAATCGATAAGTTACAAAATAGTGAACAAAGTATCCAGAACGGAGATTTTTATTTTTTCCGGCATAGTAATTTATTCTTTACAAATTTTCCTATAAATATTTATTACATGCATAAGATATTATTTTCTAAACGCAATACTAGAATGATATGCATTCTTATTCTATTTGTTAAGAATGTCAACATTTTATTTTTTACAAAAAGAAGCACAACACTGTTTCCATGAGTTATCGATGCCTTTGTTTTTACATCTATCAAAATACAGCTGTTTCAGTATTGATTATCAAAAGCTTTGTTTATAAATACTAATTCCAACTCCAATAAGAAGCACTAAATAGACGATATGACTCCACAGGACGCAGATTTAGCATTCAAAACCAAGAAAAGTAGGTAAAATTTCAATTTCATTCAAGTGGAAATTACAATAATATACTTTATTACCATTTTATAGCTTCCGAAAAAATATGCGAAAACATACATATTGTAGCCAATGATCCATCACTGGCATTTTTTCGCATTCAGGAGCATGTAAGGAAGGTGCTACAGCCAATTTCAGATAAACGGGCAGAAGTTATACAGTTGCAAACAAATTTACAAGGGCATTGCTATGACATGGAATACGCAGTTGGGTATGTATAAAAACTTTATTTTTTGTTTAAACAAAATATATAATACTTTAAATAACTTTTTAGCGCCGTTAAAGGTGTGGAGCATTCTGAAGCTATTTTCAAAAATATACAAGAAATGATAAAAACTTCAATATTTCTTAAACAACAACTGAAGTATGGAGAACTAAAGAACAAGTCAAAGAAAGACTCAACTACTAACTCCGTTTATAAGCGTTTCTCAGCACATTTAACATTGGATTTACCGGAATTGCCGGATTTTAGTGGTGTTATGCGCGAAACTAGTCAACGAGTAGAAACTATGATGACATCCACAACTAGAGACAACAATGTGCCACAAAGTAGTACCAGCGAATTGCAGAGATCGTATACTACATTACATTAAAATTGAAGTTAGTTAAGTAAAATTATTATTAACAAATATTAGTTCTACCTATTTATAATTTTTTTACAAATAGTTTTAAATAATCAAAATTTATTTATTTAATTTAAAGTTCATAAAAACAAAATTACTTCTTACTTTGTAATAAATTAACATTGAATAATAGTATAAGAGTGTACGAAAAATCGCAGATTTCTTGCTGATTATTATATAATATATCTATATCCATACATATACATACATACATCCATGTCGTTTTACTACTCAATTGTAGAAAATATGTACATATGTACACTTTTCCATAAAACACATAAAATAGGGACGCACTTGCAATATTATACGTTGTTATTGTATAAACCACGTACAATCAAAACATCTTTGAAATTATTTTTTTTTTGCAGCTGTTGAAATATTGCTCCACAATATTGTACGAGTGTGTAAAAATAGGAACTAAAAGTGCTCCTCCTACCTCAAACATTTGTATGCACGTATAAACATACTTATGTATATACATATTTACGCTTTCTACGTGCGTATCGTTTTCATTGCAGACTGTTTAAAATTTCATTAACGCCTACATAATCCCGAATTCGAATTATCGAGTTATACCCCGGTATCAAAATTAAATATATTTGGACAGACAATGATTACATAATAAGAAACGCAATACTAAATAATCGTCACGGTTGTTGTTGTTGTTGTAACGATTATCAGTCCCCGTTGGGATGGTGAGGGTTATCAGTGTTGTCGTCGATGTCATCTAACGGGAGGCCCAGGAAACATGCTGTTTCGACGGGGTCGGACCAAAGGGAAAGGGGTGTTAGATGGGTGGGGTTGGTTGGGCATGCAAAGAGGTGGTCAGTGTCATGCGGAGACTCATTGCATGCAGGACATTCGTTGGGTATGTCAGGGTCTATTCTGGATAAGTAGGAGTTTAGCCTGCTACAATATCCAGAACGAATATCGTCACGGTCGTGACCAAAGTCTATCCTCTTTGCAGAATTCAAAATAATGGGGTTCGTCTAATACGTAATTATGATTCAGAAATATTTTTTTCAGTAAAAAAAACTATCAATTCTTATTGAAAATATTTAAGACAAAGGTACAATTCACAGAAGATTTAACTCTCTATTAGAATTTATTTTTTTGTGTCCAGCTTTGTCTTAATCTTGCTTGACATCCGGAAGAAACTAATTAATTATATACAAAATTGAATTGTCTCATAAAACACGAGTTACAAGGTACCTATAACTGAAAGAAAATTGTGTAACGGACCACAATGGTTACTTTTTGCTTTCGTTAGACTAATTACTTGGATATCATGACTTCCGAGCCGGTTAAATACTGGCCCGGCATGGTGACGGATTTTCTTTTATGGAGCCAGCAGCCAGTCAGCTCTTCCGCTGAAGTCACTTTCTGACCTTTAAATCACATCACATCGAGGCACGAGAGCCACCTCGAGACTTTGAAATCACATCACAATGAGGCGCATGCGTCACCTAAGCACAATGCTTGATTTTTTTATAGAGCCGACTGGCAGCTAGCTTGATGTGAGGTCACCTCGTGACTTTTAAATCACATTACATTGAGGCGCGAAAGTCACCTAAGGAAATGTTAGGCACGATGCCAATTCAATGAGGTCAAATAATTTTTCAAATTTACTTGCGTTAATACTTGAAAATAATTTATCCAATAACTAGTACATTTTTCATGAGCTACCAGTTTTTTGATCTGATCAAAAATCGAAGTTTGATAGGCCAAAGACGACCAAAATTTGGGTAAAATTCAACTTTTAATGTTTTAATTTTTCTTTCGATAGTAAGTTGGGTGCGAATAAAGCAATCTAAAAAAAACTTTAACATTTAAATACTTTTTTTAACTTATTACTAGGAGGATCGTGCTGCTCGATTAAGCTCTGCAGCTCGAAAAATTTTCTCCAGCAATAGATTAATGAAGTCGCACGAAAGGGAGCTGCCATGTCTGAAACTTCGTTTGGTAACGAACGGCTCGAACAGGTCCTTCCTGGGATGTCAGTGCTTTTGTTTTGGCTCAACGTGAGTTTACACAGCCGTGTTGGTTTTGCGGGGACACCAAATTCAGAAATAGCGACTTAGGGCCAACTCTTTCTCCTTCCCAATTTTGTCAAAAGCAGCTTTGACATCGACGAAAAGGTGGTGTGTTTCGATACTCTTTTTATGGGTCTTTTCCAAGATTTCGCGCATGGTGCGTGGGCTTTAATCTTTCACACAGTATGCTTGTGCCTTTTTTGTGGATTGGGCAGAGCACACTTAAATTCCAATGTTCTTGTTGTAGCGGAGTTTCCAGTCCTTGGTCGGATAAAAATCCAGACCCCTTCCCGTTACGTAGACTCGTCTGTCATGGAAACAGCTTAAATTATAATCATCAGGCATGCTTTGGTCCGACCAAATTCTACAAAGAAGCTGATGCACACTCCTTATCAGTTCTTCGCCGCCGTATTTGAATAGCACGACCTGCAATCCATCGACATCCGCCGATTTATTGTTCCTCAGACGGGTAATTGCTACTCGAACTTCTTCATCGTCATTGGAGCCCCGACGGCCCAGGTTCTCAAGCTTTTCGTACTCACTTCTTTTGTTCTCTCTCTCTCTATTTTTTTTATTTGCAAATGCGTTTTGCTTCCCTCTATAATTCTCGGATCCTCAATTCCAACTACCGGATTGAAAAATAAAATATAAAAACGTTATTCTAAAATATATACTTTACTGGGCGCACTGGTCGCCAATCTTATGTATTCGTATTAAAAAATAAAAATATATTTTTGTAGTCCCAAAACCGGGAAATTTTAATCCAAAGTTTTCGAATCAAAAAATTTTCAACCATAATCGCAAGTCATTGTACGCTGTTCCTTTTAAGGTTTAATAAAAATAAATGATGAGCTATCAAGGTGCATTTTTTTACAACTAATACTTTTATATCATTAAGCTTTTCAGCTAGAGATAAACTATTGGTCAATTTACAGTTGCAGGGTATCGACAACTCAGCATTGCCGAAATTATTTTCAGCAAACTCATTTTTTTCCTAACATGCATTTTTTAAACTTTGCCTAATCGCAACATCAAGCTTAAAGGTTTTTATATATGTACATACATACGTATTTAAGTATATATGTATGTAAATATCTTTAAGCTTGAAGTATGCGACTAAGTATATATGTATGTAAATGACATTTTTTAAATTTTAGAGCGAAGAAAGATTTTTCCATTTCAGCATTGAATAAACGCTGATTATCTCAAGAAATAACCTTAGTTTGTGCATTAAGCGTATGAAAAAATCTGAGTCAAATATTCGAATTTGCATATATCATATACATATGTACATACATACATATGTATGAACATTTGTCGGTATATAAAAAAATATGTGTATGTATGCTTTTGTAATAACACTGAAAGTGCTGAAATAAACTCTTATTACGTACTCGTACAGAGGAATAGTGCTTACACAATCAGTTTTGAAAATGCAATGTACAGCAATCAGCTAAATTTTACTCTTGTAGTATTTTCCATGCAGAATGAATTTTTATAGCTGCAAAATATCGCGTCACCCATGGCCCAGCTGCCGATGCCGAATTTGAGAGCGTAAACAGTGCAGAAATGCTTTAAGGAATTAATTGCACATATTTGTACATACATACATATGTTTTCATATGTCTCTCATTTTCATATGTATGTATGTGTATGTATATACTGAAGTATAGTTAGGCCATTCACATTGCTTTCCTTAGTTTAAATAATAATTATTATTTATCGCGACAATTTTTATATTTTCATTGTTGACCTACCTTTAATCATGATTTTTACGAAGACAAATAGTTTTTCTTGCAACGATTATCCCTTAGCAGACAATTTCAAACCACTGAGTCGATTTCCGACATACTATATATTTCTGCTGCACCGAAACTATAAAATCCTTTACAGGCCCTTTTCTTATAGCAAAAAAAAGTTCTTTATCTTGATTTTGATCTCAAAAACATACTAATAAATTTTTTCCTGAGATTCATTGAGGTACCGCACATATTATCACCAATCATATCGAGTAAAGTCACCCGGATATTATATGTTTATGTATTATATTGGGGCTAGATCAAGTTAAAGCCCTCTCTCGTTGAACAAGAACCAAACTCTAAAGTCACTCATCATCCCCGTTCAGCTATATCGTATAGAGGAGTTGTGGAGAGGAAGGTTCTGCGAAAGATTTGTGGTCTTTGGGCATTGACAACGGAAATATCGCATTGGATGGAACGATGAGCTGTATGAGTTATATGACGCCATTGACATAGTTCAGCGAATTAAGAGACTGCGGCTCCGCTGGCTATTCCAAGTCAGCCGAATGGATGAAAATACCCCAGATGTGAAAGTATTCGCTAGGTCAAGTTTTCGGCCAATTTTTCCATTTTAGGCACAAAGATACATTGTTATTAGTAAAACACGCTATCTCATTTTTATTGACGTATACTTACGGAGCTAAGCAAAGTATTGACTCGATTCAATACATTTTTAACAAAGACATACCGTTATAAAAGAAGGATTATCCCCTAATTTCAGTTATATATATATCACACATTGACCGACATTTTCGATTACAAGTCAAATATAGGTACTGGTGTCCAAACATTCAGTACCTTGGAGCTTGAACAATTTTTGTTGGATTTTGACAATTTTTGGTCATTAGGTGGCATATTCTAAAGACATTAATCGTGCAAAGTTATTAATTGGCCTCATTTGTATAATGGAAAGTGAAAAATTCAAAATTCATTTAAAATTGTGATGTGGACCATTTCACCCATTTTCGCGCTGTTCCATATGAATGCGTACCAAATATAGTTAAAAGCGGTCGGGCGGGTTCGGAGATACATGTGCGATTTCACCTAAAAGTAGTCGGTACCACGCCCATCTCCTAACTTATTAAGCCTTTGCTTAATATCTTGAAGGTAAAATTGTATGTCTTGAGTGTCCGGGTTATCTGTCGATTTCATCTATTACATAGTCGGTAGGGGTGCTTAATTAATTTGTCCTGAGCCACAGGTGCCATTTGTTACGAGGCAGTAGTCCGATTACGTCCATCTGCAATAACAAGCATCTTATGATGCCAAGAAACATGTGTACCAAGATATCTTAATTTTTTTCAAATTACTGCTTGCAAGGATATACGGACGGAAGCAGAGACGATCAACCGGATATGCAAGGCTATATCTAACTCGATTAGCTTTAGATAAAACATATAAAAATTACGTCAACAAAACTAACTATATACCAACATGTTCAAAGAGTTTAAAAATATACTCTATAGGGTTAAAAAACCTCTTCAGCTCAACAGATCATGATTCAACAGATGTAAGCGGCTTTGCTGAATTTTGTAAGAATATTATATTCCATTAATAAACTAAAGCAACCCATCTATATTAACCTAACATTTATTTTCTGTCTCCTCTCTGGAATGTCTTTTTATGATTTCCAGGAAATGAATTTGCCATATGGATCCCTTGCTACATACAATATATTAACTATAATACATGCATATTAACATTAACTGAGTTCCGAAAGTTTGTTGTTCAGGTGCATAACTAGATAGAAGTCTATTTTATTTTCCACATCGGAATAATTTGAAAACTCTCCACTAACTTATTTCCTAGTAAACTTTTTCTGCGATATTTATCCTTTACAACAAAAGTGTCTTCAATTTGAAGTCAAAAGCCGACATCAGGTCCACATAATGAAACCGCCTTAAGTTTCTACCATCAAGTATAATTACTCCAGTAGCCCTAAAGAAAGAGAATTTTAGAAAACTTCTATGTTTCCGTAACAAAAATGATAATTCTCTAAACAATTCAATATTCCTATTCGTTTAGGAAACTGTCGATCATGTCAAAAATCATGTCTTATATTATGTCATACTATTAGTATTTCTTAAAAATATAATCTTTTGTGAAAATTAATATAATTAACTATTGTAAATACTGTCTTCCTGCTAAATATAATTTCAATCAACTAAAATCTTTATCAAGTGTGTTATTTTCCACTCCGCACCGCTAGTTATTATACTTCTGACTGCAATATTTTTTAACCAACTGCGTCAAGCAGTTAAATAGTGTTTTGGCTTTTTACGCCAAAAATTTCGTGTTAACTATAGAGAGTAAAATTTTTCGAAACTTTATGTTGTTTCTAAGAAGAGAGACTTCATAAGGCATGTGTTTATTACAAATTCCATAGCTGGCGAGCAATTACGTCGTGAGATATAGTCGAAAGTGTAGAAAGCAACAAGTAGCCAGAGTTTGTCTGTTTGGAGGTTGATTACATACATACATAACCTGCTAAGGTTCTAACTACCCATTATTACTCTTTCATTCTTGAGGAGTAAAACCTTTATGGTATGGGGACCAACCACGAAAAAAGGTTCAGGTCCTACCATATTAGTGGATGCTTTGGAGCGGGCGAACTCAGCAGCCTGTTCATTCCCTGCTATACCTTTGTGACCGGACACCCAGATAAGGTGCACTTAGTTACGATCTGGTAAACTGTTTACGAGTGTGCGCATGGCACTCGACAAGCAGATGCATCATTGCAGCTTCGATTGTTGAAGTCCTACCGAAGTCGAGGTGTTAATGTTCAGACCAACGACATTTTACCATCCCTAAACCAGGCCTAATAACTTTTGTAGTTCGTTTACGACAAGGCAGGGGGGCAGCCTCTTGTAGTACCGAGGCGAATTCTGGTATCCCCTACTGTGGTTTCAGCTATTATGGTGTGCAGTACGGCCCTTATCCATCTGCTACTGGTGCTGCCCCCATTCCTCTTCTCCAGTGCTCTTGCTACGCTCACTTCAAACGGGTTGCCAAAGGCACGTGTAAAGAATAACATCGACAACATTTTCAATGTTTCCGTAGCAAACTCGACAAAAAGGTTTGTGTCAATCGAAGATTTGGTTCACGCACAGCGATGCCCAGAGCATACTAAAATTATGGAGAGAACACTTCTCCAACCTGCTGAATGGCTGTGAAAGCATAAAGAGAATCGACACACACCACCAATTTGAAAACTTAAGGCAGCTGCTTTTTGTGCTGTCAAAAGAAGCTGCCTTTCTTCATTTTTTATGGTATCCACGCAAAACGAATACGGTTATGTAAACTGACGTTGAGCAAAAGCAAAAGCTCCGTCAGGATCGGGAAGGACTTCGCCGAGGCGTTCAATACCAAACCAGGTTTCAGACAAGACGACTCCTCCCTCAATCCTCTTGTCAACAGGTTCGAACTGAATAAGTAACCGTCAGGGGAAGTAGAGGAAGGCGAAAACCTCCACTCCGTTAGAAAGACCACGTGGAGAAGGACCTGGCTATACTTGGAATCTCCAATTAACACCAAACAGCGAAAAGGAATAACGTCTGGCACTAGTGGAATAAGAATGTCGCGTGAGCAGATATTAAATCTCGCTTGGAACCGAAAGTAACCTTTCCCTACTGCTTGCTTGCAATAAATTTATTTTCCATAAAATCTCAATATTAGAATATACTTAAACATTTAAAATCATTACTAATCAACTATGCGCATATAATCTTTACAGCTTATCAGTGGCCGTATGGCTGATTGCATGTTTGTGCATTTATCGCTTTAGCAACTGATTTTGGAATTTTCGCAAATCAAATGGTTTTGATGTAACAGAATGTATAGTAGAGTAGGGCACAGTTAAGGGCAGGCAGCTTCGTGTTGTTATTTTCGCGAAAGTAACAACCAATAACAAAACAGTATGCGACTGTCGAGTAAATATATGAAGACCAATTATATACCATCATTGTACATATATGTATAAATATGAATGTAGTTATATAGTATATATTCAAATGTAGGCTATAGCGAAAATGCAACGAAGGCATATTACATTTTTACATACTTACAGACAAGCATATGCATACAGCCAGTATGCAAGTATGCATGTATGTGCATGTGCTGGAGAATTCTTATTTAGCACTTTTAAATCGTAACATCTTATGTACTGTTTAATTGCAGTTTGATACTTTCACAGCGCTACGGATCAAGTCATCAATCGCCAGACGATTAGTTCATTTACAACCATTAACCAAATTACGTATGGTTTTTAACAAATGAAAATTTGAGATTACATTTTTAGTAAGCATAAAACTGGTTTAGAATTAATTTTTATACAGAAAACAAAAACAATTATTTAATTTATTTATGCTTTGGGATAATTGGAAAGTGATGTTTAACAACAAAATTAATACTACAAAATATTAGTTTAAAAATATACTAAGCAAATAATAATATTTCAATTAAGGAATTGATAAATAAAAAGTATTATTATTCTACGGCAAGTCTGTGATCAGTTTGGTGTGAGTTTCGAAAATATAGCAACAAAAATTATTGTAACAATCCTGTGGAAAATCAAAACGGGAATTTTTATGACAAAAAAATTTTGCAACGGACAGTAATTTTAAAATAAATGCTTACTAATAATAATATAATTATTAAACA